GGCAGCAGTTTCACTGATATGGATACATGTGTACACCCCTTTGTGTACACCCTATATATGCATATGTTAAATATATATCTCTCATATACATATCACTGTCATATACACTATCACATATATATGTCTGTTTATACACATACACATGTGCAACACCTTGTGGTATTCAAGGCCAGGTTGGACAGAGCCTTGGGTTGCATGGTTTAGTGGGAGGTGTCCCTGCCCATGGCAGGGGGGTTGGAACTAGATGATCTTAAGGTCTTTTCCAACCCTAACTGTTCTATGATTCTATGTATGTATATGTATATATGTATGCATACATATGGTGTTTATATATATACATATATATATATATATACTAACAAGCTCCTCTGAGCATGCAGAAACCTGATGTGGTTAGACAAGTCTCCTCATCTGTCAGTGGAAAGTGGCAGTCCTTCCTTCTGTAAGCCAATTTTTGTATCCAATCACCAGCCTGAGCATTGCCTTCTGTGGGTAGCTGTGGGTGCAATGTGAACGTGAGCTGAGGTTTCCCTCTGTCAGACACAACATCTCAGGGCCTGTGCGCTGGGGCACGTGTGAGGCTGGGGAGAGTGGAAGAGATACTGCATGGCATACATGTATGCATGGCTTTCTGCTCTGGGAAGGGCACCAAGGCCCCCTATCTCCTGATCAGCCTCCTGTCCCCCATCCTCACAGGAAATTTTACCCTCAGATCCAAATGTGAATGGGTATGGTTCAAGGAGAAATCATACTTTGCCTATTCCTGAAATGTCTTTTAGAATAACAGCTGAAGATCTATATTTGTATCGGGGTCTACCAGTACCACAAACTCCACTAGAAAGTTCTTTTGAAGAATTTGTTTTTCCCACGCTGACTGCCTCTCACTGTTAGCTGCCTTGGGTACACACAGCACGTTCCTACCACATAGATGATACAAACACATCTATAGTGGTTCCTACGTGGCAAGGTACTGCAGAGGAGACACTTGAGCTGACACTAACTTGCAGATCTCTCCACATCACTCTGGGTTAGATAACAAAACCTGCATCCAGAGAGCCCACAGCCTCCAGGGCTTTGGGGATTGAGCTCCTGACCTTCATACAAATTCGGAGCAGTGCTTATGAGGATCACTGTGCAGATGCTGGGGCAAGGTTCTCAGATGGCTCTGGTCTCACAGCTGGGTGCACTTCTACTAGTTTACATCACTTGAGCTCTTGGTCCTTTTCTATTAGCTGCCTAGAGCTTCACTCTGATGTACAATTAAGTTAATCAGCATTAAGTTAATCAGCACTCACTTTGGGGTGAATGTGCACTGCTGGAAGGAGGGAAGGTCCTTAGCATAAAAGTAAACAAGAGACCTCAGGCTCAGCACTGAAATCAGCTTTCTCAAAAGAGATGTGGGCACATAAGGGAGGCTCTCCTTATTTCTCGTCTTTTACACAACACAATGCTTATAGAGTAAGTATCCAAGCCTGCGTGTCTGTATGTGTGTGTAACTGTTCTTCTGTAGGGTTTCTCCTCCCAGAACCCAAGTTATTTCACATTAATTGGGGGATTCACTGGACTCCTCTATTCCACAGGGGTTTGGACACCTTGCTGTCAAGAGACCTAAATTGCAACAGATTTGAAAGTTCCTCTTCATGTTTAACTGGAGTGTCCTGGAAGTCTTTCCATATACCTTGACATTTGAAATCACATCTAAACCTCTTCACATTTTCTGTACTTGTTCCTGCATCCCAGTGTCATAATGGCTATAGGAATTAGTGGATTCTCTCTGTCTTTCACATACAGATGCCTACATGCAAATGTATGTGAATGTACCAAATAATAAAGCAAATAAGAGGAGACTAGAACCCTGCCTTAGCCAGCAGATCAACAGGTCTCTATGTGACATATGTAGAGGTTGGTAGAAACCTGGGTCTCCAGTTCTTTTTAAGTTCCAACCAAGACTGATAAAACACTTGAGGCCCTTGGAATATGATCCTGCCTTTAAATAAAATCCAGTCTTACTTTCTAGCATGCTAATTAAAAGTGCATGGCTGATTCAGGCAGCAAGAGGAGTGCTGCAGGCATAGAGATGGCAGGGTTTAGCCTGTTGTTGAGTATACAGTATTAAAAACAGGCAGATGTCTTATAAAGATGATTACGCCAGCACTGTTGACCTTTCTGCAAGAACAGGAATAAAAGCAGGAGGGGAAGCAATAATCAGTTTTGATTTATCTAGAAAGCACTCTTCCTTTTTTAGGCATGAAGCTACTGTTGATGTAGAAAGGTAAGGGAGGTTGCTGTCACCCTTCTATGTCACATCAGTGCACACTCACCAGCTGCTTGGAGCTGAGCCTGTGAGTGGATTGACACACTCAGACCTCAACCAGAGACACCTCCTCTGGGACTGCACATGAGAGCATGGGTCACTGCCTCCCTTAGATATTTTCCGGCTCAGCCCTGTGTTTGGTCTGTGTTTGTTTTGTTTTGTTCTGTTTTGTTTTGCTTTGCCTTGTTGGGCTGGTGGATGAGTGAAAGCTGGTGGAAAGGGGTGCCCTGATGCAGGCTCCCTGGCTCAGCACCACTGCTGGGGACTATGCAGAGGCACCAACTGATCCCAAAGTAGCCCCCATGATGGAGCACTTAACTCTCTCCTGACAGACTTGGTGTTACTTTCTAATGGCCCAGCATTCCCCTGCAGAGCAATTAGCCTACAACCCATATCACAATGGAAAGCTATAACCCTGCCCAAATTAATGTTAGGAGTACTAAATTTCCAAAATCTGAGCTTTAGAAAGTACAGCCATGACTACTAAAGATAACCTGAGGGAATATGCAAGGATTCCAGTTCCTGTTTCTATATTCTGTTGCAGGCAGTACATGTGCTTTCATGACATACACAAAGTAATTTAGTGCTTAATCCAGAAAATTAAAATGGCTTCCTCACTGTTTTTTGGTTTGGGAAGCTCAGGACAACTTTGAGAGTGACCCACTCTGAGATTTGCTAAAAAGAAATCAGAGGTTTCTTTGTAATTTTATGTAATTTTATGAGAACCTCTTTTCTGCTCTATTTCTGTGCGAGGGCATTGAGGGAAACCCTCTGTAGCTGAGCTAGTCTTTCCTGGTATGCACATTTCTGGCTAGAGCCATGTGTGTACAGATACCTGCTAACCTTAGAACTGGAGCTGTGTCTTTATGCTGAGCCTTCAAAACAAATGTAGTCAAAGAAAGCAAGCGTGTAAGATTTTTGTGGTGCTGAAATAGTCTGCAGGGTGCCTTTGCTCTAAAAGTACTTTTTCATTATTTTTTTTTATTAAGTTGGATCCAGCCACCCAGGTCTGAAATGGGTCTGTTTCACTGTATTTATTTAGGGCTGGTGCTTTTGGGAATAGCAGAAGGTGCTGGCTCTCTAAGAGTAAACCTAACCATTTGTTGTACTTCATGCATTTTAAGGCCAGGAGAAAAAAGGCATTGTGCTCATGCAGACCTTCCAAAGACAGAGACTTTTCTTTACTTACATAATTCTTACTCTGAGTCCAATCTCTTTAGCTGAATTTAGACTAACTTATTTCAGGAAAAATGAACAGTCTACCTTAAACTAATTTTTTTCAGTTAAATAGCAGAGCTGATACACTACTGTAATGGATAGTTACCCTTAATGATAACAATTACGTTTCTAATCTATTCACCTTTCCTGAGTCATTTACAAACTCTGCTAGTAATCATCACCCTGTTTTGGGGGGGAGGAAGTCACTCTTAAACACATTGTCTCAGCAGTGACTTTCCATTTCTAGTTAGATTTTGAGACATACCAGTTGTCTGACTTTAACTCAGTTTATGTGTGCTACACTGTATAGCTCTATAGTTTCATAAATCCAACATCACGTGGAATTAAGTTGAATAGCATACCAAAGACTAAAGTTATCACACCAGCACCAATACATCTATTTAGCAAACCCGTAATCTCCTCCGAAAATATCTACTTAGTTTGACAAGATGTTTTTTCCTAAACCTATGCTGCTTAGCATCAATTATTTATTACAATATTTTATTAATTGAGACATATTTCAACTTGTGCAGCTGTTTGTGATGTGTATAACTAGAAGTTCAGAATATAGGATGTATTTTGCTATATTTAATTCTCTCTTCTGCTTAACTGAACATGTAGATTTAGACATTTCCATTGAATGATTCATTATGCAACTTCATTTAACGTGACCCAAATTCTCCTAGAGTTTATGTGGTTGCACACACTGCAGTAGGGGTCTCTTTCCCTCTGCAATACACTGATACTGCTCATGGCATTGTCTGTTGCTCACCATCCTTTAGGAAATGTGTCCCCCTCAAAGCAGAGGAAAAGGAATATAGCCCTGAAGGAAAATATTTTAACCAAGTGCCACCAGTATTCCTTCCAATGCAAAGTGTTGCTTGTATGAGTGGTACTTACATAGACATTTCCTACATATTAGACATACAATTCAAAGACAATGTAATGAGCAAGAAGCTTGTAAACTATAGTCCTCTAAAAGCAATTAATAAATGTAATAAAATTCCTGTTCTTTTAAAATAGATCCCCCTTCCTCACTCCAAGGTTACAATGATAGCAGCTGCAATACTGATGGGTAGGCACTGCTGCGGCTCCCAATAAAGCTCCCCTAATGGGGTTTGAAAGCCTTCCCTTATCAGCATAACACGTTTCTCTAAAACTAAACGGTGCAGCAAGAGACAGCTAATGCAGAGGGAAAAGATATTTTCTGTGTGTAGCAGAGCTGAGCACCAGGTTGTGGACAACACTAACACAGAGAATTTGGTCATCTGGGGGCCATGACAACTAGAACCAAACAGAGGAGTTGATTGCTTAGGAAAAATCTTGCGTCTTAAAGGTGAAATATTTGCATGTCTTTGTATCTGTCTGTGGCCCTGACTTAATGCTATTGCATGGGTGACTGAAGCGTATCTGATTATACACTATTCATTTGGGAGAACTCATGTATTTTTCCACAATCTTTTTACAGCTCCCAAATCTACCTTTTGTCCCACTGAAGAGACCTGGTGGCCAGGCCTGGTTATTATCATTGCAGTATGCTGTGCCACACTAGTGTTCCTCTTTGTAGTTGTCATCATTTGCTACAAAGCCATAAAAAGGTAAGATTCCAGATGCTTTTACTGTGCTTAGGGCAACACAACCTCACAAAGCTTGATCCAAGGCTTGGCTGACACCTTGTTTTGTTTAAAGACATCCTAAAGGCAAAATGCATCCTGTAATCAATGTGTGTTTTCATTGGAAAGTCACTTTATGTACCATATCCTACCTGTTTAAACGGTGAAGTTCAATGCACAGTCATGGGTATGAGGAGGAGAAAAACTAGAAATGTGGTAACAGCCACAATGTTCAGATTAACAAGAACTTCCCCAAAGCCAGATTGCTGCAGGTTGCTGCAGAATGTCAATAGCTTTGGCTTGGCCAAGTGTAGAGGTAGAAAACACTGTCTTACCACTTCTGGAAGTATTCAGAATTTACATGTGAGGTTTTTGACTCAGGCCCATCACTAATTGTAGTGTTTCAAATTGATGCAAGTTCTTTTAATTCAAACTCTAGGGTAATCTATGTTGTTTTTCATTTGGAGGCTCTATTTCCAATTTATTCTTGCTTCCAAATTCTCATCTAGAGAATAAAATGCAAAAGCTGTCTCTTTTAGTGTAAAAGCCAATGTAAAGCCTATGTACAACATGGTGTTGTAGTAACCATTTCAGTTCACTGTCATTGCAATAGATGTGCTTGCATAGGCCTCCAGCAGTTAGAAAGTATTGTCTTCAGTTACATAGAAAAATGGAAGTGGGAATAATTTCTTCACCTAAATAATATTTTGCATTTCTGGTGGAAGAAGTCAAAACTGTAACATTTCTGTATGAATACTTCAACTGCAAGTCCAAAGTGTCAATTTAGAGAAGAAAGTAACTTGGGAATTGTATCCTCGATGGAGGGAGTTCCTTTTCTCCTCTATTGGTTTCAGTGTGGCTCTGACAACACCCTACAGTCATGGCTTCATGGTGTCACTGTTTCATACAGTAGGTGTCTTGTGCAGGAGCTGCTAGTACAGCTGGGTGACCCAGCTGCAGTAGAGAATGCAATATGCAATCCATAACTCTCCTGAGATACTGCAGTGACAAATGAATTGCAGCTTGGACTAAAGTATTTTTTTTCAACTTTGTGATTTTTGAGTGATACTAAAAAAAAAAAAAAAAAAGAAAGGAAAAGAAATGAAAAAATGAAAATACCTTTCATGGAAAATGTTATCTGCATGAAAAAAACTGCAAGATTTTTTATGAGCCTCAGTGGGGATATCACAGTGATGCAGCATTGCACATGCTTTGTAGTTGTCTGAAAAATTTATGCAGGATTTGAAGGGTAATGTATCCAAGAGCATAAAAAAGGAAAACTTCAAATGAGAAGACAGAAGTCTGTATTTGATTTCTTATTAAATTTACATAAGTATCTTTGCTGTTCTAGTTTAACTAAAATGAATGCTTATTAGTTTTAAGGATTTGGAAAGCTTTCAATCTAGTGACAGCACTTGTAAAAAATCATCTATGGAGGACTGCAGTTGGAGTCCGATTAGATTGGTATCACAGTGCAAAGTCTCTTACTTGTAGTTCTGACATTGTACATCCTACCATTGGCTGCTCATAGGGGACTGGTCCAGCTCCATGTGTAATTCTATTAGTTTCTATTAGCTTCAAAACCAGTTATTGTACTTACCTTCCTACTGCCAAATTGTGAGTGATTTCTGCCAAGGCTGCAAAATATACCTATGGGAGCAGGAATTCTTCAGGGCAGCTTGTGCCTAGTGAGGAATTGCTGGTCAAATCTGGTGCTGGTATATGGGAGGAATAGAAAAGAAATGTAAACAGCAAATTTAGAGCTGCCTTGAAAAGGCTTTGGGAGTTCACATAACAGTCTTATGCTTTGTGTTGGTGAAGAATAATACTGATACTTGATGAAGATACCCATTGTTTGTCAATGGTGTGAATATCAGCATACAAGTCAGCTGCCTAAACAGGCATTAGGTACACAGAAGAGTGAAAATCCCTCTTAGATATGCTTATTGTTGACATTCACACTGCTGACAAATGCTAAGCCGAAAGCTGCTCAGACATGGGATGGACAGCTATAAAAGAAAATCTTATTAATTATATTTTTACATGGTACCTAGAGCATTCCTTTTCATCAATGAGTCCTTCCTGAAACAGCTTTGCTAAAAGGATGCCCTGAAGTTCCTAGCAGCATTCCCCAGTAGTTCAGGGTCCTTGATCCACTGAAAAAGATATCTTTTGATAAATGCTAGGAAATAAGGTAAGATGCTTCACAAGAGAAGCATCTCTGCCTTCAACGCAGAGTATTGTTACATATTGTTGAGCTGAATTGGCTTAAGCTAGTGTGAGAAGTCCTTCACTCTACTTCTTTGCTGGGAGGCAGTGGTGGCTAGAGAAAGAGTAAGGGGATTAATCTGGGTGATGCTGAAGCCAAGGGTCCCTCCAGTGTATTCCCAGCCTCTGGTTCCATGCTCTGCCCTGTCCTTTTCCACACCCGTATCCCCACCAGCTGGCCTCTCCAATCATCCCCTTAGTCCTTGTTCCTGTGCATCTCCTGGACCTAGGACCTCTGTCATTGCAGCATCTCTGACAGATCTGTCTTCTCCCCCCCACTGAAGAGATGCTGAAGACTGAAGTAACAGCAGTCACCTGGTTGTAGAGTGTAGCAAGAGTTAAATGTTTTCGTAGGAAAATACAGGCAGAGATTTATTCTCACAGAGCTTGGATCTGTTGTATTAATCCCTCACTTTCATAAGAATCAAATTTGTAGTAGAAAGAAAAACAAAAATCCTATTGTGCTCAAGTTAAAATCTCATTTACTGGTTTCAAAGGGCGAGACCTAATCAAACTCTCTCATGTCTGCTTTCCTGTAGCAGGAAGAGAGGAAGTGACTGACCTTGAAGTATCGTAACTCCACTGTATTTTTATTCAATCTGTATAAAAAATGTTTCTTGTGGGTTGTTTGTTTTCTCTCGTAAAAACTAAAAGCTAAACTTCAGCAGATCTCTGATTTTAGGCATTAAGGGGTTTTGTGATAAAATACAACCTAGAGGATCAGTGCTTCTTTGTATAAAATAACTACCAGAGCTAAGCAAGCTTGCTGCTACCTCCATCTCTGCATCTCCCCTGGAAATGCTGAGGTTCTCTCAATATTAAATGGTTGTAAGAAATGCTGAATTCCATTCCAGTGGATGGACTTGATCTCTCTGATCCCTGAGGGAACTAATACCATAATGTGCCAATCATCTTTAATCCTCAGGGAACTACTAGACAGGTTAAACTATTGGGAAGATACATATGGGGCGATTCTTCAAAGGCTCTTAAAGCAGTCTCTAAATTTCCTGGGTGTGATGCTAGCATCTGCAGTGTTGGACACTGCATGACTGGCATACCAGGTACAGGTGTGTGCTGCTTCATAGATCAAACACCAGAAGAGATAGGATGTGATACTGTGTTGTGCTGTAGCACGGTTACCCACATCATGATAGCACCCTCAGTCTGGCAGTGGAGAAACAGCTATTTTCTCTCGTCTTGGTGACAGAGGAGTATTTCCTTTTTTAAAAAAAAAAGTAAATTTTCTCCTAAGAAACTTTTCCATGGCACATTAGAAAAAAAATTAAGGGTTGGCACTTAGCATAGGCAGCAATTGCAGTCTGACATCTGTAGATTTCCAGAACAGCCTTAATCACTGGCTAAGGCTGAGATCCACTGTAAGCAGTGGAACTTTTGTGCTCATTTGATGGTTAAGGAAAGTGATCTCACAACCAGTGATTTCTGTAATACATAGCAGGAGCAGATGAAAAACAGCTTCAAAATCTGGAATACCTCCAGGTATTTCTCTTCCATGTCTCTCTCTGTAAAATCCTGCCATTCTGTCTTTCCCTGGAAGACTGTCACCAAGAAGTAAAAGCAGGACGTCCAAGGACAGTTCATAAACTAACACAGGAGAAAGCTGGATCATTTCAGTATTACATGGTTTGTGGACTTCGGCAAGTGCACCATGAATGCCAGGAGCTCTAACAAATACTCATCTGGTATAAATCAGTGTGGACTCAAAAACAGTCAGTGGAGATCAGTTTCTTTAATCAGCTCTGGAGATAGCTGGTTTTTAAGCGATTTTTTTAGCATCTCCAAGTACCTGAGCAATAATAATAGTAATAGTAATGAGTAAGACAGTAAGGCTGGAGGGAAGTGGGAAGCAAACACAGTAAAGAGGATTAACAAGAGTTGTTTGGTAAATAAGCAACTGACGTTGCAGGGAGAGGGACCTGCAGTATATAATCCTGTTTCTGCCGCTCATGGTTTGTTAGTGCCTGTGTGGGGAGTAAGATAGTTACATAAAAGGGAAAAATAAATCCCTGGCTCCCTGTATAAATTACGATACTAGAGCCATCTCTGAAACCTCTAAGGGGAGGTTTCCCTGCTAAGGGGAAAGCAAAACTGACCCTCCTGGTTTCCATGCCAGCTGATGCCCCAGCTATGCAACATGGCAAGACGTGTTTCTGATGGTTTTCCAGCATGTGGAGAACCTGTATTTAATATTTCTGAACATCCATACAGTCTGAGATGACTCATGAGTAGCCCATTGTACCTAAGGATGTGACTCCTTGGCTCTGATGGAATTTAGGTAGGATGTATTCTTCTGCTCTCAGATGTACCACAGGGTTTGCTGACAAAAGAGTCCTCTTGCTAAGTCAACAGAAAAGCCAGGCTGATGGCAGCAAAGTTTTACATGTATAGCTTTTACTCACTATTTTTTGTCAAGCCACTGTTTTGTATGTGTTCCAGAGCCTGAGAGAATGGTACCATAAATGTCTACAAATGAATTTCCTTGAATAGGCACTGGGTTCACCTTCAGATAGTAATTAAATGGAAGAAAACATTGTGCTGAAATAAAAGAACAAGTCATATTTGAACTGTCTTAAAATTCATTGCTCAGGTATTTTCTAGGGTACTTTGCATTAGTGTATAATTTATGGACACTGTATACTGCAAGGTCTAGTTTCAGTAGCAGGAACAAAGTTTCAAAAGTTGGTTTTGTTTGACAAAAT